GTTATAATCGGAATTAATGTAAAATAATAGAATTAATATCAATTTTGTTTAACATTTACAAAGACAACGGAACGTATGTAATTGCAAGTGAATTTATTTTGTTCGTGAGAAAGACGTGTGCAGCTAATGTGACCGATTAACGATTTGTGACCGCGATCCATCATATAGTCTGTGTTTGCATGTTTCAGGCTCCATGTGAGATTGCATGTTTCAGGCTCCGTATAAGATTGCATGTTTCATGCGGTTTTCCGCCATTCAAATACCGACAACCATAACATATTTAAAGACATTATCGCCCAAGCTCTTTTAACCATTGCAATATTTTGCTCATTTGAAAATCCAAATCGTAAACACATAATCTCTCCCCTCAATGCTAACACCGCCGCCGCCGCCGCCGCCGCCAAAACCACCACCAAAAAAGGGTTCATACAAAAGGAGGTCCTCAGATTCGCAACCTACGAATCAGGCATCAACTTCAAACAAAAGGGTTTGCAAACCGTATTGGAACGATCGAGCAAGGGTCTTGTCGGAGAGATTGTGGTTACCCATCGAGACCGATCATGTTAGCTCGCGTACGAGCTCCTCGAATACTTCTCCCTCCATGCTACGAAACTCGTGGTTCTCATCGATGATTCAACAACCGACGAACGTGAGCTATCCGAAGATATCCTTGCCATCAACACCGTCTTCATCTCAGAATGCAAGGAAGAAGAGCTGCACAACATCGAAGAGAAAGGAAAGAAAAAAAGAAAGGTCTCTACAGTGAGAAAAACAAAAAAAAAGAAAAACAGATAAAAGTGTGAACAGGACACTGAACGTGAGATTGTATCCGAATCGTGCTCAGAAACAATTGCTGAAGCGATGGATGGGATTGACGAGATTGATCTATAACACAGTGGTCGCCCACCTCAAACCACGTATTTAGGTGCAGGTGCAGATGCAACCGAATCCGCAAGGACAACTGAATTTACCATCGCAAATAATAAAAACACCCACCCAACTTTACCTCAACTGTTCGAGCACCCAGTACCTTCGTTATTTCGTGTACGTCATGCTTAAGCTTAAAGGTGTTTATGAAGAGATCCCCAATAACATCATCGACGAAACAGTGGATGAGGCAATCAAAAATTATAATCAGAAAGACAAAAAATCCACATTAAAATTCAAGTCAAAGAAGGATCTTGCGCATACCATTAGCATCCGATCACGAAATTTTTCGAGAAGGGATTGGAATCACTTTTATGTGTCGTACCTACACAACCAATCAATGCGCACGCCAAGAAAGAAACCCTGCATTATCACACAAAACAAGAGAGACCTACGGCCTTTACATTTCGAAACCCAACGAAAAAATAACAAATGGCCATTTAAAAAAATCAATTGTGATTGCAAGGTTACCTATCATCGAAAAACAAACGATTGGACACTATCATGAAAGACCAAAACGGACCAGGGAAACTCATGAAAAGTTCGTAGCCATTGACCCTGGGGTGCGAACCCCGTTCGTCATGTACTCACCTACTGCAGAAATTGGAAAGAATGATGCACAGAGATTAGGGTTACACGCCGACAGGTTAAGTTCCCAGAGAGATATTCTAAACAATTCCACATCGAAGCGAAAAAAAAGAAAGGCGAAGAGATTAGATGGCGCGATCGCGAGAATCTCTCGAAAGATCAAGAATCTACGTAATGAGCTTCACAAGAAAACGGTGAATCACTTGGTCCAAAACTACGATGTCGTGATCATACCTGAATTTGATGTAAAGAACATGGTGAAACGAGATCGACGAAAAATCAATTCGAAAGTGGTTCGGAGCATGCTCACCTGGTCACATTATGCATTCCGGCAGCAGCTGAAACACAAGGCCGAGGAAACAGGCGCGATGGTAATCATCCAGGATGAGGGGTACACCTCCAAGACCTGCAGCAATTGTGGAAACATACAAAACATCGGCGGAAGGAGAGTTTATAAATGCGGAAACTGTCATACGGTTATGGACAGGGACGTAAACGGAGCCCGCGGGATCTTCCTACGGGCGTTGCTTGATGGAGCCATCCACATGTGGATGTAGGAATTGACGATCTAACGATTATTAATGATATATTAAAATCCATCCATAAAGTAATATAACTACATACCTCAACAATTAGCAAATCGCAGGACAGCCACTTAACACGCGATGCAATAACAAACTTGATTTGAGACGGATAATTATACGATAACTAATACTTAATACTGTGCAGACAACAGTACCAAATATTACAAAGATAAGAAACAGGAAATCAATAGGACGGTAGGACAAACCAAGAATTTTCTAGTCGTACGGCGAAATTATTAGACAAAATCGTTACCACATTGATGTCAACAAAGCACATTGTACAACAGGCAGAGAATGCAGTAATAAATTAGAAAGCATCGTACAATACCGGCATAAAAACCATTGTCAATAAATGGGACAAAGAATTATTACGACTCGAATCTGGTTTCTTTAGCACGGAATAGTGGATACCAAAATATACCGACCAATTGCAAATAATAATAATTCCCAAAGCCAAGGTTTATGGACTACATCCCCCTACCAAAAACCTTTGGCAGTAGGCCACCAACGCTTTAATCGCAAATAATAAGAAAAGACCAGAACTGCACTTTTCTATACTTATCGAATATCTGAACGTGTCTACTGACATGCCATGTCTCATGGACATGCCTCCTAATATCTACTGGACCTTGGACATTTCCTGGACACGTTGAATCGCCAGAATTCAACCGCTGTTTACATACATGTTAGATAATATAAATACAAATAACTATAAGATTAATCCGTATAACTAAGCAATAGGGTAATGAGTCATTGAGATATATTTTGGAGGCGAATTCAGCTTCATCGCGCAATTACAACGTCGATTATTACCGCAGTATTAAATAATTAATGGTTAAAATAATTAACGAATAACAATTCCATCATTGTAGCGAGACATTATTTGAGATAAGCCCACCACTCAATTAAAAATGCCCAGATCATTTTTGTTAAGATCTTTAGTCTACATCATTTTTGATTACATGGTGGCGTTTACAATTGGATGGCGTCATGTCCATTTTGTTATAGTATTATCGTTATAACTTCTGCGGGCAATCCAATTTTTATGTTGTAGAACAAAGATAATGTATCACTGCATTTGTTAGTGCATTGTTTGTAGCAGATCTCTTCTTTATTGTGATTGACGCTTATCATATTAACATTAATATCAACAAAGGGATTTGGACCAATCTCCGGTGGTTAGGTGATTCGGAAAATTCCTTGTCAAGATGACACTTGATACGACGTTAGTAATATACTTTGAGCGAATTGATGGCGAACGCAACATAACATCATAGCTACTATTACCAATAGTACAACCAAGAAATATTGCTAGTTTAAATCATTAATCGATAAAGTGTTTTAAAATTGAAAAGAATAAATTGAATTTTGCATCATCCAAACCAGATAATAAAAAAAAAAGAAAATTTCATTTTGATTATCATCTCTTTGTCCGAACGCCTTGGGCGTCTTCACTAACTAACATCCCATTAGTTCACGGTGTACCAAATAATAGTAGAGAAAAAAAAACAAAACTAATAATTAAGGGTCGCCGCCTCGGCAACATAGAATGTTTCAGATTTTTCATTTAGCTCTATCTTTTGTAAGTAATAGAGAGACTAACGGAGTAGAAGAAAGGTAAATGTAGAATACATAAAACAGAGCGAAAGGAATTGAATAAAGACTAAGTCGAAAGACAACAGAAAACCATTCCACCACTACCTTCACCACCGTCATCTTCAGCGTATTCATCTCTAATAGAATCATTTCTTACAAGCTTCTTGCCATTAATCCACTACTAGACTTCCAACTCTCCACAAAAACTTCTTTGATTTACTGAGCCTTTATCTAAGTTATACTTTCGTACTACGAATTTTCTATCCACAAAACAAAAACGATGTTACAAATAAAGATTATGTTGGATTTTGAGAACTCATGTCCGGCGGTCCGCTGAGCACGTCATCTAGACTTCGATGAAGAGATAATTCAGATAGTACTGATTCATCAACGGGTATGATAGACTTCCGGCGGAATAAACTGAACTGTGCCGGTCGGCCATCAAATGATTGCTATTACAATTGAACGAAAACAATGCAGACATTAATAGTTAGGACACGATAACTGTGTATTACCCATACTCTAATGTTTATCGTCGCAGTCTCACCATTTCTCCGTGCTCATCGTCCTGCAAATCCTCATCTACTATATTTTCGTCAAATTCTTCTTCGCTCGACCGTGGGTCTTCCTCACGATTATAATCAATTTCTACGGATTCCGGAAAATTTTTTTATTTTTTATCCAAAAAAAAAAAACACCCCCCCAATGTGATGATGCTATGACGGTGCTTACTTGATACGTCAGTCTTTGATGACGTAAGATGCGGTCCAATGCTGTATGGGAGCGGCAAGCCTTGAGAATTAGAGACTGCCGTCGTTTCCAACCTGTGCCACGATTCTTCTCGTTCTTTCAATTTTTGCTTCTCCCTTGAATGTGAGTGCTTGTGTTAGTATATCTAATTCACATTCCAGACGTGAAGAGAAATAACAAACTTACATTTGGCGTGTCTGTTTATAATGTGCGGTACATTCATCAAATAACGCAGGATTTATTTCCATAAATAACTTCAATGCGTTATATATGAGCCCATGAATCGTTCTATGGTAAATATCGCAATGTTATTGTAATTTTAACACACACGTAATAACAAGATGCACGATATCAGCGCAAGACTGTTTTTAGTTACCGATTCCAATGTGACTTTGAATTTTGATAGAGCGATGGGAACATTACTGGCAGAATTTCATTTATATTCTCTCCCATAAGATTCACAATATATTCGTTGTTCCAATAATACAGTGCTCGTTCAGCAACCTACAACAAGCAGAAGCAGGTAAGCTAAATTCCCAAGCAACATCAAATGAAATTGTTTACCAAGCTACCTGAAAATGTGGGCTCGATACGCAGCGAGCAATCTGCTGGAATAATGGGACCTGAATTTTGACAAATTCTTGTGGTTCTATTACATCTAATATTTCTTCAATTTCATTCAAAAACATGACTTCTTTCGGACTATTGACTTTCGGCCAATATCGCAATAACCCACAAATAACCTAAATTTAAAAATCAACCAATTAATTAATAAACGTACATAACGGTTCTAATAATAATCCAACCTCCCCGACGTTATTTAGTAACACTTACTTCTTCCGTTAATGAAGGATCCTTTTCCAAGAATTGTACCACACAATACGCAAGTTGAGGATGATACAGTGAAAGAGATTTTACTTTGTGTAACGGTATCAGCACCTTTGTCAGGAAAGTTTTGTGTTCGTCCTTTAGCGGCAATGCGAAGCCATTGATGATACTTAGTAGTAAGGAAAAAATCAAAGTCTACTATATCAATTTCAGCTACAACAATGACATCCGTCTCGTTACATCCCATACTAGACGAATCTGCAAGAACATTTACCTGCCGAGAATCTCGAGAAGTTCGGCGATACCATTGTGTCGTTCAGTCTCATATATGAATTGGAAAAACACATTGTTGATTGATCGGCGTATGAGTGCGCGCAGGCCGAGGAATTTGCCATAAATTCTATGTAGAGTAGTCTTTAAGAAATCTCGTTCTCGAGGGTCTTCACTGTCAAATAGTTCCAGCAGCTATGTATAGTGAAAGAAAACGATAAGTATATTCAATTATATAACATCGCCAACAATCGAATCCATAACTCACTTGCAATATGAACTGTGAATCAAGATATTTCTTTGCAACATTAGTATTAAAATCAGGCGATTCTATAAACCGTAGAAAGAATTCATAAACGATCTGTAGGTGTGGCCACGCAAGCTCAAGAACTGGCTCGTCCTCTTCAGGATCGAATGCATCTCCTATTGGGTTAACTTGCGGAGGTATAGTCCTAAAAAGGTTTATAGCAAACTAGTAGGTTATATAAAATAAAAAGCATCTTAGTGAATAATCCAATGGTTAGCAGCAAATACAAGTGCAGGAGATTGATAGAAATATTCACAACAATGTCAATGAATAACGTAAGAAAAAAATGATGGTAGTTTTTCGTTATTACGAGATACATTCGACTCCGTTAACGTAATAAGAAAAACAAAATAGTATTGGATACGTGTTTTCAATGGCATACTTACCATTTGAACTACTTCTGGATAAATCGGTTCTGTTATGACATTCCGATTTTTTGTTATGTAATCTAACATTTCCGTTAATGCTTGACGTTTAATCTCCTTTCCTCTCAGGTCAGCACTAGCATCATTAAAGTCAAAAATTACATAGCATTGCCGGATCTTTTCAATGAAAAGCCCTTGTCTCCGATCAGCCGCAACCTCTAATGAATGACAAGTAGTAGGAAAGCTGAGTACTGCAACGAATGGCCCAAAATATATGCATAATCATCTAGAATGACCAACCGTGGAAGCTAGGCAATGGCTCTAGTTCAACCTTCTCTGTAACGTAGAATCGTGATGATCTCTGTCGACGGGGAACTTTGCTAATAGGTATGACGTCCTTTGGCGTTCCCTTTAACCGACTTATAGGTCCACTCTTGGGTGGTTCGTCTGTTTTGTGAGACTTGTGAGAGCCTGGAGAAGGTGGTGGGTTCTGGTCGGAGGTAACATGTCCTCTCTGCATATGATAACGATGTTTGAAAAAGTTCGTGTGTGTGCAAATGATATGAAAATTTACGTAAAATACTGATGGCAAAGATGATATTCGAACCTGTTCTGCATTTACGACAACGATTGCTGGCGGCGTACCACTCGAGGAAGCTTCGTTTGAGTTGGAAGAGTTCTTTCCGGAGGACTTGGAAGAACTGCTAGTTTTTCCGTTGCTATTTGAATCTGTCTTCTTTATCTAGTAGACAGGCAGGATGAAAAGAAGTGTGAGCCTTGTGGAGAGCTCTAAGTGTGGCGGGATGAGATACTTAACGGTTGGAGAGGAGAATAGGTATGTTACCCTGCTTTTGATTTTCATCATTTTCAGGTTGGCAGTTTTAGAGGGACGATTAACTTAGCGTTCTGAGAAGAGAGAGTTTGCTATAATTCTAGGTGAGTTCGTTGCACAAGCGGGAAGTTGCTTACATTTCATTGTACTATGCATGTATATTTCCCCCCAATGATATGTGTGCGTCATTGCTATAATCATAATCCGACCAAACGGGTGGATCTGACCATTGGCTTTGCCTTGCCACATTTGTGACTGAAACAGTCGAAATTATCTGTGGGTGCTGCGCGCAATGCCATCCTTTGATCCATTTATAGCCTAAACGCTGATTCAATCTTTCTCTTCTTTTTCCAACTAGTGTGTTTTAAATCTCATCTTAAAAGCGTCCATTCGATCTTGTTGTTCACGTTTGCATGACAAGTTCTTCCTGATTGAATGTCTGTGCAATCCGCGTGAGCATCAGCAAATCGGGGTGGGAAGTGGATGGCGCTGAGTATGATATCTTGTTGGATAGTGGGCGCCCGTGTATGTAAGGCCGAATGGGACAAGTACAGTAATGTTGCGTTAAGCAAGCAGCACAAACGATCGACGTTGTCCAAAGTGTAATACACAACGTGATAGTCTCCCTTTTCAGTTGTAAGAAGTATGTGCTCCGGAAGTAGGTTTGATAAGGTGGGACCTGCAGAAGAAGTAAAAGAATGTGCGATTACGAATTGATATTCAAATTTTGAATGCTTTTTGATGACTAGCCCAGGTCATAGACCGGTTTTTTGAATTCGATTGTCAGATGATCATTCATTTTAATAGATTATCACTCAGATAATGACCATGAAAGAAATGAGATCGAGTAATCGAGCCAAGGTCACAAACAATATTATTTGTCGGTAATCGAGCACTGAAAATTTGTGAACAAGTTTGATGTCGATTCTTCCCTTTTTCGTTTGCTCTGCAAGAAAGCATGCTAATGAAAATTAATTATACGTGACCGACTTTGAGTAAAAGCTTTCCATATTGTTTATATTCCGTTTATAGCATGCTAGCCACTTATATTCGATATGGATCACGTCACCGTCTAAGTAAGAAATTAAAGTCAAGGGATTTGAAAGATGAATTAGGGGAAATGTGACATCATAAGAGTAATATAAAGGAGGATTGAATCAATCAAGCTGGTAGGCAGCATTTTCGAAGAGTGAAGACCATATCAGCCGACTGGAAATGATTGGCGGAAAGGAGTTCCATTTCATACTGATAATAAACGTCTCATCCGTTTGCCTTTTCCGTTTGCGTACGCTATATAGTGGCAGGGGAAAGGGGTATTGAGATGATTTTCCTTCAAGTGGGTGATCTTCCATCATTGTAAATTGATAAAAATTGATAACGACCAAGATTATTATGACAAATGCGTATTTCGTATTCTGTACTATAGAAAATGAGTGAAAGATCTTGATGATCCATAGAAATAAGCGTTTAATATTGAAGGTGACAAATTTCGAAATCTTTTAGCATATGATAGGACCGTTGCCATTCATTTTAACCCAAAATTACGAAATCTTAAAATGAACTTTCCGAAAAGATAAAAGTGTTGAAAGTCGTCATTTATGCAACCACTCTTGTTTGTCGATAGAGCCAGACTCTATTGTTTAATCTGTTCACAAGCGTTATCACGTATTACGTGCCCACTAGAACCGCTTCTATCAAAAGAATGTAATTATTGATTGCCGATCGAAATGTGACCCCGTCTATAATTACTTACAATACGATCTGCTAATTCTGCCTCGTCATAAGCGGATTATTCACAGCGAGGCCATCTTTTTGTTTCATTTAGTTTATGCCATTAATCAATTATATGTTTAAACCTCGTCTCATGACTTTGCATATGAAACCTTTATAAAAGTTGTGCGTAACGACACATTAAAAAGCTCTATTTAATGTTTGTGACTATAATTGATTGTGCTATTAGTTCGATTGTCCGTCTTATTCTTGACAAAGATGTAGCATTTTATTTCGCGCCTTGTTCAAAGTTAATCGCATCAATTACCAGAATTCCCTTTCTACCTTTGTGAAGCGTCTACCGCTTAAACTTGTATTACAATATAAACTTTGACAGACGTACGTGTTTATTTTTGGAGCCTCAGTAATGCTCACCAACTAATAGCAATATATCTGGCTTATACGAATCTGAAAACAGATTACGACACGTTTACTATCGAGGACATTGGTCTTCATGTTGTGGGTGAATATATAATGTACATACTAATACAATGGTATGCTTTAAAATCCAAGAGAATTCAGTTTAGAGCGGTCTGAATAACAGTACTAACTTACGATATTATAAACCAATTTGATTTTAAAGCAGCTGTCATTAACATATCTGTTTCTTGACTGCTTTCCTAATCTGGGATTTGTTTTTTAATATTCTAGATCTTTTTTTCCTGATCTATATGTGGTACTACGGCAATTTAATTCTCCTTCGCATTTTTCCAACACCACAAGTCGACAAATTTTTCTTTTCCATTAACATACGTAAAATTGCATGCTGAGATCCGCAAGCGTTAATGTTCCTGCTACTAACATTATCTAATTTGATGCAATAATAAACATTAAAATAGTCCTACAATATATATCAATCTCGCGTGGCAATAGGTTTATGCTGCGGACCAATACAATCTGTTGCGTCTTATCAGTTGTAAGGTAGGTAAACGGGGGCTTAAAGAATTTCTTAACATAGATGCTGTAGACGTTGTCGTAAATATAAATGTCACCCTTTAAGTTCGAAACATTCTTACCTGTCTTGAATTATTGCAATGGATGGAAGCCAAGTTTATGAGAAGGTTAATGCAAGAGCATAATGTCACAAGCTGAGTCCTCAATAGCTCTTCTATTACATTAAAAAAATCGGTATAACTTCCAAGTCCAGAAAAACAAATACGATCAGCGCGAGATAATCTCGATTAGGTAAACTATTGTGCAACGATCAATCATGTATTATATCCTATTAGGTCTTCAGAGGGAATAGCTCAAACCATTACTAAGCCGGCGAATGTATTAGATAACAAATACTGCACGTTAAATGTTAATGATATTGGATTGAATGTCATTATTAAAAAAAACAGACCTGTTTTCGCACCAATCGATTATCTCAGGTGCGATAATTCCCAAGTTGCTACAACAACATATCTTGAATAGAGCAATAGTGTATATGAACAACGACACAATATTTAAAGCCTAGCTCTAAAATGTTTGCGTAAAATTAAGCTGCTTTTTGTTCCAGTATACAAGCGGTGCTTACCTTATTGTGACATGACAGGAATCATGGGAATAAATAAATATCTTTAAGGTTAGTGCGATCGGTTATATATGTATCTGAACGCGTAAAAGGGGTTTTTTGTGAAAAAAAAAAAAAAAATCTAGCAAGGAGTACAATAATGAGCAGACGCGCTGATGACTTCAATAATAAAGTAGATTTGATATAGCGATAACAATTAAAGAGTAAAAAAATGTATGGTCTAGTGAGGAGTGTGAAGATTTGGATACATCCAAATCAAAACAAAATATAATTATAAAACAATATTTGGGCCATTCTAGATAAACAACATTTTTGAATGCCGGGTAAAAAAAATTTTGTTTATTTGTAATATAAGAAACATGGTTGTAGAAGAATACTGTGCTGGAAAAACTCACAGTCTTAGCTATTTTTGAAATTTATGACGTAAGCGCATTAACAATGGAATGTGGGACTTCATGTCAAAGTTCCTTACAATTAGTATAAGTAGGAGTTATCAGAGAAAACAAGGTCAAAGATTTCAACATAATCTTTCTTTTATACACAAAAAAACCTCAACAAACAATTACTATTCAGAAACAAGATTGCAAAAATTATTTTTGTATTCTTCATACTTACAAACAAAATTTTTCATTTAACAACTCTCAATCACGTCTACCAGAAAATTTAAAACAAAAAATTTTATCCACAACGGAAAAATTAAAGGATTGTTCGCCTTTGCACAGTGAACATAAAAGACAAGCCGAAATAACTGGCTGGTCTAATAAAGACGGTACTATAACATATGATTGTAAACTTAGATGGTGATTGTCAGCGCAATTACTAATTTCTTGCAAAAACAAGTAAAAATTAAAATTTGCTCTTTATATCCGAGCGCTTACCCGGTAACGTTTGCTTTACTCTTCGTAATATAAACTTGTTGAATTTATTATTTACAACTTACTGTATTTTATAGGTATTCTCTTACGAATTGGCACAAAGATGTGATCGTCTTTTCCTTGCCAAGCCGTAACTCTTATTTACGGTGTTGAACGCTTTATTCGATCTAATGAGACTCGCAAATGGTTTTAATTTTTATATTTTTGTTTTGTTAAGCACTGGAGGAATGAATCGAAGAAGAACATCATGTGCGATTATTTTACGATTTACTGCATGTAATTTTTAGTCCGAAAATTTACCTTAACATTAAAACGCTCGCAACAAGAACATAAATTGTGGATAATACTGTAGAAGATATAATACTGGAATAATTGGTTTCCATTTTTGTAGCACCAAACCTGCTTGACGATCTCAACAGTTGTTTTCTTCATCAATCCAAAAAATTACAGTTGAATTTAGCATGTCCAGGTACCACAAAAAAAACCCCCCACAAATTACTTAAAACAAGTAAAATCAAATGGTCGTGTTATTTTTGTTCTGTCCACCAGCTTTAATCACAAGTGCTTTTCACCTTATTCAATCTCTTGATTCCGTCGAAAACATGCCAAGTGTTCCGTTAGACCCTTTGCCGATAATTTCGTCTTGCAATTAGTTTGTTCGCGACCTGCTTTACGCGGACTATGATAATAGATCTTGCTTACCTGTTGATAGAAAGTGGGACTTAGCGCGTCAATGCTACAATATCTCTCATCATGAAATGCTTTCGTTTTGTGAGATAATCAAATGTGGCAATAAAGTCGTACAAATATCGAGATAATCACGTTCTGTATCTACAGTATATTCCAGCCACAAATATACTGTTACGCCACAATTGGCGTATTATTTATAGTCAGCTGATTGCCTATCCAGTTCAACGATTGGTGTTCTCAACATTCAGTTCGTTATGAACCATTGAATTGTGGGTACTCTAACTATGGTATATCGAGTTGACGTTAAAAATCTTGAATGGACGTAATTATCGAACCCCCGGTATCACCGAACAAATCAAGTAAATAGCAGATAGTCCCTGTTGCTCTATGTTGGCGATGGCCCTCTGAAACTATGGATTTTTCGACTTTTTTGCTCTTCCAACAGGCGAATCGATCCGAACACCTAGACGTTTGCCTTCTGATCAGTTGTCGGTACGCAGCTGGAGTAAAACTTTACAAATGGATTCCGAAGCTGGTCGGGAAGAAGGCACGTTACTGCTTTCTATCGCAAGCATAATTCTCTTGCCTTATCGAATGCAAGCGGAAACTGATGCTAATTTTACAATTTAGATCCAAGCCGGAAGCCCGTTGAAATTATTAATGAAGTCTTGCTCAGTATCCAGAATGACGAAGACGAGCCGGTGATGCGGGTTGAGAAATTGGGCAGTCTAATTCGTGTACTGAAAAATCATGAACGCCTGAAATACACGTATCCACCGGATCCCTTGTTTCGAGGGTATTTACTTTTTTTTTCGATTCCAATTTGTTTCCAGCACTATGATAGACCGCGGAGATAGGATTTACTTGGTTGTTTCGAATACGCATTGGTGTACGTAGGTTGAAATTTTGCATATCAGACTCGGTAAAGGAAGTGAGAATTGCGGGATATCGCGCCCTTAGATATTTGGTAGTTGATGCGAGTCGAGTAGAGAAGATAATAAATCTTCATTGCGATATTTTTATAATGAGGTAAGTGAACGCTTATGCTACGTCGTTTTGTACTGTAACCTATAAAACTGATATGAATCTCGCGCAGATCACTATCCAGAGATCCACGTACATTTAATGACGAAAGAGAACAAACTTTGAAGCTAGTTCGCTTGTTTATTGATATACCTGATGGAATAAAATACATGCCTATTGGAGTGATGAGAGCTATTGTCTCGATAGCTGAACAGGCAGATGAGAAGCTAAGGCCTATTTGTTTAGAGACGTTAGCTGAGTTTGGTATATAGGATTTACTACGGAATCGGGTGTGTTGGGTCTAGTCATGTTACAACTTACTTGGCCATCAGCATTCATACTTTAATTTTTATTGATACTTTCTTAGTTATTCGCGATCCAAAGTTAATTATGAATTGTGGAGGAATGCGCGTCTTGTTGCAAGCGCTAGTCGACGGCCCTTTGGAGCTATCTGAGTATATTGTAATGGCATTACTGTATGTGATCGATATGCCAGGCTACAGGGAATGCATTCGGCCAGGCGTAGATCTTGAGGTAATATACCATGCACGTTACTATATCCATATCCTTATATATATACTCACGCCTAATATTGTTAAATTAGATTGTCCTCTCTGGGTTTACTGAAGCCTGTAATAAAGGAACTAAGTCAGATGCACAATTAAAAGCCAGTGCAAAGGCAATATCTGTATTATTAAAATCTTGGACAGGAATTATATATTTATGTATAGATAATAAACAATCAATAAGATCAATGGTAGAATCACTGCGGATAACATCTGATGAGACGCGGGTTTGTAGAAAAAAGAAAAAAGTCCAAATCTTATGCCGTGCTACAGTATGACTGTAGTTTCTTGCACAAGCTGCTAATCACTCAAAGGCTTTTCTTATGGATAGGAAATTATGCTTGATACGTTCTTTAATATATTTCGAATTAAGCCACCAAAATGGTATCAAAGCTTCGTAGCAGGAAGAAGAATTACATGTATGTCGGTTCAGGCTATCTCCATTGTACTGGCGTATATTATATTACCTTATATCACACGACATTGAATATGTGTCTTATTTCTAAGATGGTTGGTTTTGTAATTTTCGGTGTAAAAATAGTGCTTGGTAATCCTGCTTTAGAAGAGAATAGTAGCGGTGAACCACCGCCTGTTCCTTCACCATCTCAGGAAAGACTTAATTTATTAGACCATCATTTGGTCATACTTCTGGTTATCTTTATTGATTGTGGTTTGCTTGATGTAAGCGTAATGTGAATACTTGCGCATAATTATTGAGGAGGCCGATCAATCTCATTTATTGTTACTTTCTTTCTCTCACATACGTAGGCACTTGTTGAGATAATTGAAGACAAGAACCAGCAAATTGCGAAAAAGGCCACTTTGTTCATCGGAGAAATATTGCAATTATCCAACCGACTATTACCAGTGGCACGATCAATGCGAATACAGGTATTGAACTATTAGTACGTTATAATACAACTTAATAAATCCAATAATTTCTGCTCACTGATTTTTTGTTGTTTTTTTTTGTATATCCAAGTCATTACCTAAACTTTTCAGTTTAGCAACTAAATTTGATGATGAGATTGTACGGCATAGTGCAACAGCAGCCTTATCGCATATAGATAACCTCAACCGTACTCGCAATCAATTGCAGCCAAACGCTCCTGTACAAGATGGATCCCCTTCCTTCTTAGAGGACAGACGTAGGCGTAGCGCTCGCCATGTCGAGAATGTTAAGATTAAAATGGGAATTCAGATTGACGATATCCATTTTCGTAACATGTTATTAGAGACTCAGGTTGGATACTTGACAGCTCGCACATTAGTACCATGTCCGAGTCCACAATACTTATTTGTCATATAATAACCAAATAGGTTTTAACAACAAAAGATTATTCCAAATGGAAATGGGAAACGCTTATGGAACTACTTCAAGGTCCATTGCTCAATCCAAGAAGGTTGGAGGAGGCTCTGAGAGCAAAGTATCTTAAAAGGCTAATTGGCTTTTTCCGACCATCAAGTCATCGATTTTCCGATATTGAGAAAAGTGCGGAAACTCAGCGCTTTGTACGACTAGGATGTACACTCATAACAACCCTCTTGGCAAATCCTGACGGAGTGAAGTATCTGGAAGGAAATAAATTTTTAAGACAAATATCAGAGTCTCTCAATCAGCTTGATCCCGTGAGTATTATACTTTAAACCAGAGAAATCAGATAGCATGAATTGCTTTTATGAAAGGACTTAACCGTCAGATTTATAATATGTTTCAAGATTAATGGAGTCGTGGAATCAGATCATTTGTTCTCTAAAGAACGTATTGAAGACACACTTACGAGTGGTTACTTCACCATGATTGGTATGCTTAGCAAGTACAAAGATGGAGTGAGGTGGGTTGAACCTTTTTTGGCTGTATAACCAACGGATTGCGTAATTGCATGATACTGACGACTTTTTTCTTTGTAATAGATTACTCGAAAAATTTAAAATATTTAATACATTCTATCATTTGAGTGAATTGCGTAGTCGTGAAGATCTTATAAAAGCCATAATTACTAATTTGGACTATAGTTTGTGAGTATAACAAATATTAATGCTAATTCGTATATTTGCATTTAGCAGCGTTATCCAAATTTATACATTTCCGCGTTATCACTGATAGAGACGGCCATCCTCGCATTTTGCTTTCTAAAGTCATGACTTCAGGATACAAAGTAAGTTGCCAAGTTATCGTCTCGTTTTTGTTAATATGGTTTCTCTCCGTTTAATGCTCTTTTGTTGCAGCATGTCCGTCTTTATGCAACTAAACATCTCGGAACAATACTTCGTACATCGGCCGAGAAGTTTAATAACTGGGGGATTCGATTGTTAATAACACAGGTTCTACTTGCTGATATATCCATTCTTCCATAGTTACTGTGACAGTTGATTCGCATCGAGTATTTACTTATAGTTAGTATTGATTAGTTATATGACCCTGCAATGGAAGTATGCGAAATGGCGGTTCGCGTTCTCGAAGAAACATGTAGAGCAAAGGAGAATCTTGAGCTATTGGTTAAATTAAGACCCAGTTTAGATTATTTGGGTGAAGTCGGAAATCCATTACTGCTGAGGTTTTTGTCAACTTCGATTGGGTTCCGATATCTGTCGGAATTTGATTATGTCGAGAAGGAAATGGACGAGTGGTTCCAGGTATGGGTGAAAATATTCGTAGTATTGGTAAACAATTTATATCTGCAAGATGTTAAGAGTTACATTAAGCTGACTTGTGTATTGCTTAGAGCCGAAATCAATATTACATGACGCAGCTAGAAGTCTCGCTTGCAACAGCACTACGAATCGATGGTGACGATGGAAGAGCAGATGACGAAGACAAGGATAAAATGTATCGTAATCTCTCGTCTATTGTTGCTTCACTATGTGCTCCTCTTATACTTGCAATTCTATTCAAGGCAAACATTCGACGGAACAACCCCACCACACTTTTACGGCGAATTAGCGAAGACAGAAGAAGGTTGCCAACTACTCCGAGAGAAAGGTCACTTTCGAGAATTTGCAGAATTTGTGCGAGAGCATAAACATGAAAAACAGGATCCGGCAACAATAGCAAAACTAAAATCAGTCCTCTGGGCTTTGGTTAGTGAATTATTGAATTTGTTCTACAACGCAAATGAAACCGTGAATTAATATATCTTCTGTCACCAGGGAAACATAGGAGCATCAAAAAGTGGTTTACCATTTTTAGAAGAGGAAGATATTGTCAAGGACATTGTTGAAATAGCTCAGACGTCGGAAGTTCTTTCACTCAAAGGGTCAGTAATTGTTTTAGACCTACACTGCTGAAATTCATAAAGTGTACTCTTCTCAATTTTATTCACGCGTTTATTATTACTATGACAGAACGTGCTTCTTTGTATTGGGTCTGATTGCAAAAACCGCTCAAGGTGTTGAGATTTTGGAAGAACTCGGATGGGAGAGCGTATATGATACGGAGACTGCTATCGGGAATGGATTGTGTGTGCCAATGAATCTTGATGACTTCTTATCGGTAAGAAACGATTTGATTAATAAAGGCAGTAAGCAGAGAACGATAGCGTGAAGAAATACAAAGAGGAAATGCTAATACGATTGTTGTCCTGAATGTTATTATATATATGTAGTTCCCAAAATGGACGTATAGAGGCTTTGTAAATATTCCAGGAACGACACGACCGGTCACGCCTAGCAGTCTTGTGGAAAGAGATTTATTAAAGGCAGTAGCAAATTTAACCAACAGGATATTATCGGGTACTGGCTCCAAGAGCATGGCAAAGTAAGTCCACGTCCATTTTGTTCCATCATATATGCATATAGCTATAAACTGAGAAATGTGTATTCTTTCCTCAAATACAAGAATTCGTCAGCAGTATCCAGAAGTTTTCCGTTCCATCAGTACCTACCTTAAAGTAGTTCAGATGCTCTCATCATATCAGTACCGTCTTCCCACGCGCCGACTAATATGTGAACTATTTAATGTGGATTTCACTACTGAAGCTCTCGAAGAAATGGATCAAATTCTTGACGACAGCAATTCGCGAGATTCCGAAGACGGAGGAATGGAGGATGTCAATGAGGATGAAGAACTGCCACGCGTGATGTTTACCAGGACGCACAGAAGAAGTGATGGTGTTATTGCAGGTATATCAGACGATGTGCCGGGTATTGACACTGAGGAAGTGGTGCCAAAGCAGGCTTTAGAACCCATAATGGTTATAAAAGGATTTATGATATGATGGGGTGGAGTTGCGTGATATAAGATGTGATATATTGTATAAAATAGCACATAAGAACAAGGATTTAGTGTAATGACAGCTTCAATGCACGAGTAAATAAAGACAGATACGATGAATTGAATTCAATGAATCACGCGTTAAATGAAAGTTTTTACAAAAATAACTTTAATAACCCATGTTTTGCAAAACTTTAATTATTTCTAAAACACAATGTTAATTTCGATTAGTCTATTGCGATCTAAAATATGTAGCAAATGGCGTTAAGTTATTACATAACCATTAAGAATGGCAGCAGAAAATTATTCGCTGGCATCGTAAAAATAATTCATTCTACATAATAATCCGAGGTTCTGGAATACTGGTAGAGATACATTTGTGAGGCAAAATGCACCCGCCATTCACATAAAGCTCATCATTGATACTGACATCATCTCCAAGCACGGAGACTCCCTCGAGACGTGTCTAACAAGGTGAATAGCGAGATTGTTACGTGAAACAATTAAACCAGCCAACACTTCAATACAAATTTAAGGAAATAACGTACCCATCGACCCAAAGTAGAATGCCATCCAATAATACAGTTTTTTACCCAAGAATGGTCTTTAATTCTTGCTCCCTCAAGCACAACACATCTCTGTAATCTGACACCATCTCCGATCACAACATTTGGACCAATTGTCACGTTAGGACCGATTCTGCAATCCTCGCCAATCTTGGCGCTGGGATCGATAAGCACGTTTCCATGAACATAGTGAAGATTCGGGTTGGCTAGCAGTTGTGGTCGTCGATGTGCTACGTTCGATAAGTACAGACACGTGCCAGTTAGAAAATCTTTCGGTTGGCCGACATCCATCCAGAAACCATCCAATTCGAAAGCATGTAGTTGGTTATCTTTCGCCATGAATGGGAAGACTTCCTTCTCGATGCTAGTTGGTTTTAGCTATAAAAATAACAAGCTTGCGTGAATAAGAGTGACATCCAATAAAGACGACACTAGGTTATCTAGTAACGATATAAGTGAATGTAGCAAATTACCTCAATTCGATCCAAAATATTGGGATTGAAAATATATATGCCAGCATTAATCTTATTACTGACAAAGTCTGTAGGTTTTTCAACAAAACGTTGAATACGTGTGGTATTTGGATGATTAACAATGACACCATATTTCGAAGGCTCATCTACTTTAGTGACCTTTAGATATTCAACCAAAATATAGTTGATAAATAATCTTTCATCAGCATAGACTATAGAAACATTAATATGCCTAATATCAATTACTTACAACAATGGTACCCTCTGCACCGTGATCATTGTGAAAGTCTCGGAGTTGTTCAAATGGATATTCGCATATAATATCACTGTTGAGGACGAAGAAAGGCGATTGATCTTTTCCCAGAATCTCTCTCGCCAATGCGAGAGGGCCGGCTATAACAGAAATTAGCAAGTTAATTCATTGCGTATTAAATTAGGAAAAGAAAGGATGAAAATTGTTCCAGCTAAATCGTATCGCATGAGCTTACGGACTGTACGTTCTTTTCACTCACCGGTTCCCAAAGGTTCGTTTTCAACTGAAAATGTAATGGTAACTTTATATTGTTCTTCATATTTCTTCAGAATGGATACCATAATCTCTGGGCGATAATTCACTGCCAAGACAATATCCGTTACTCCTGCCTTTTAGAAGTTGATTAGATGGTTAGATAAAAAACAAATACGCACGACATTATCAAATAGAAGCGTTTTTGCTATCAAGTCACACTTGTATAAACAATGTGAAAATATCAATTAGACACGCCATCTCTTGGACCACTGATCGAATTCACCATAGCGACTAGTTTACGCGTGTTTCTCTTATAAGTAACCTGCGCGCTTTACCTTAACAAGTCCTTCTATTTGATGCAATATCATAGGCCTATTGCAGAACTCTACCAGGGGCTTAGGCAAAGTTAGCGTGAGAGGTCGAAGCCGTGTACCAAAACCTAAGAATGTATGCGACAAGTTAGTTTATGTCGGATGAACGAGTTCCATTGAAAACCTTCTTCCTTTGCCAAACGCAATTTGGCTGAACCGAGTGCATAGCTTCTTACCGCCGACAAGGATGAGAGCCTTCATTTTAGTGTATTAGAGTGTTTAGAGAGTAAGGAAACAACTTTTTAGCCCAAGCCCAACAGATTAAACCAAACTAAGGAGTCAAGATCAACTGGTACTTAAGTCAAGTGACACAAATATTCTTCTCTGTAACTAGGTTCTTCGTGCATAACATATAGCATTTTGAAGTACTTTTTATTCGTTATCTAAAACGATACAAGTCTGGAGAAGAATCTTAGTCTTAATACGAAAAAGTGGCTGTTTTTTGGTTCTCAATTAATAAAAGTGCAATCAATGTTCAATTTCTTCGAATTATACCATAATATTAACATACCACAAATCGTTTCGTTTTGAATGCATCGATCATCTTTAAGTACCTCGTTTATATCCCCACTTTGGACCTAAGATTTTTGGGGATATATCTGAGGTGGGATACAACTGAGGTACTGTGTATATCATTTCAATAGATAATATTGTGTTTAATTTTATTGGTTAATAAATTCCATTAGTGACGTCTGACATTTTGACCCTTCTATGCTTTATTTATCGCCTGATTTTATGACCTGATTTTATTTATTACCTATCCGGTTTTATTTATGGCCAGATTTATTGTGTAATACGTAACGGGATATAAACGAGGTTAGATAACTATAAAATTGGGAAATCGGGGATTGTGAAAGTTAGGGATGGGGGATATAACTGATACAACTGAGGTATGACTGTATAAGTTTTCAATATGTCCATAAAATGCCTCGTCCTAGTAAACGTAAAATTACAAGTAGCAAGCAGGAAGCGAAATTAAAATGGGTTCTTTTCAGCGACAAAAATCAATAGAAAATAGTGATGACGGTCAAATGCAAATTTTGAAGAGAAATTTCAAGATGTTGAAAAGAGGTTTGCATTAGTCTGGAAAGAGGATTCATTAAAAAAATAAAACTTTGCGCCAAGAACTACCCAATGGCATTAGAAGAAGCAATAATGGCATCTACCATATACAGTAAACTCTCCATAAATGCAACCTCTACAAGTGCAAACCAACCCCCAATTGCGAGTCCCTATTGTGAGTACTGATATTAATTATGATAACCGAGTATTTATTCCGCATGATCTGAATAATCCGACTGTTCTATTGACCATGATTGCAAAAGGGCATGGGATTGTTCTGAAATTTATATCTTTAAAACGCGTTCACCAAAATGGTAACTAATTAAAATAAAGACGCATTTACGATAAACGGCTGAAGAGTCATGATGCTATAGAATAAGCAATATAATCCTCAATGTTAACACAACTCTTACGAGTCATAAACGTTAAGGAATTTCCATACATGATGTTTTAAGTCCAAAAACCTGAAAATATTAAATTTTCCCCTTGATTAATGTTTAATGTACCCAATACTAATACGATTTCGGGTGCTGCACCCCAAATCTATTGGCCATTTGCGAATCAAAAAATCACATGACATCGATTTGATGAAATTTATGCGACTCTCTTTTGATGTAACCATCATCTTCAACTATTTACTATTGCCAGTATTACCGCTTTTTCGACACTATCACCAACTCCTCCAGTTACCGTTTTCCGGTTACTATCATTAACAAACGCGCCAATTATACATAATGACTTCAATTGCGGAGGATATGGAAATAGATAACAACACAAAAAACCAGGGAAACCAGGGAAGTCTAATATCGGATTTGGAGGCTTTACGGCTTGCAGCATTATCAACACGCAAGCCACGGAAGGAAAAGGAAAAGTCAGAAGAAGAGCCTCAAATTGCACAAATGGACGACGAGAGAGAGGAGGGAGAGTTAAGTGAAACAGAATCAGTGGAAGCTTGTCCACCGACTAAAATCACTCAGCTCAAACATGAGACTAATGATAAAAGTGAGTAAGAAGTTTGTTGTTGTGAACAGTTTTAACACAAAACCCCAACGTATTCGTCTTGCATTCGGTCTTTAATATTCGGCCTTGGCATATGATTTGACAAGATTCATATGAACGCTTCTTCCATTGCTAGTCTCTTATGATCAGATCACTCGAACTTTGATGTCAGAGATATATGCATATGGTGCCCAGCCTGCCGATTTCGTCGACTTCGGCATTCCATTAGAAATTGTTGCTCAGTTTTCTAAAGAATTACACATATATCTTCCGCCAAACATTGACGGCAATGGAATACCAGCCTCTCAACAACTGCGTCTCCAGTCGCTTCCTCCTCAACCCCCCCCCTCTTCAACCAGCAACACCATCTATTCCACTTCAATCAACGGCTCTATCTCGGTCACTATCTGCTACACAGACGCAACCGCCATCAACTACACGTCCGACAATGCTACCATCTACTGTATTCCAGGCGCAACTACCAATTATTACACCTCAGACGCGGCTATCTTCTGCTACTTTTCGACCTCAACCAGCATTTACTGCGCAGATGACATTACCACCTGCTACTCTTCAGCTACCGTCTACTGCACTTCGGACAAAAGCACAGTTTATTACACCTCAACCAAAGTCATCGTCTACTCCGCCACAGATACAACGATCATCTAATATAATTCAATCAAAGCCATTATCTGCTTCGCCTCAGCTACCACCACCACCGCCGCCGCCGCCGCCGCCACCACCACCACCACCACCACCACCACCATCTATCGTGCTTCAATCAAAACCATCATCGATTCCGACTCAGGTTCAATCATCATCTCCTAAGTCTCAGACTCAGATGCAACCACCATCTATTACGCTTCAGTCAAAACCATCATCGGCCCAGACTCAGATACAACCACTATCTACTACGCTTCAGTCAAAACCATCATCGGCTCCGACTCAGATACAACCACCATCTATCACGCTTCGGTCAAAACAATCAACTGCTCCCTCTCAGATACAACCATCATCTACTACGATTCAAATACAACCATCATCTACGTTTCAGTTAAAACCATCATTTACTCCGCCTCAAATAAAGCCACCATCCTCCATGCTTCAACCAAAACCGATATCTGCTCAGCCTCAGATACAAGCGCCATCTGCTATGCTTCAGTCAAAACCATTATCTGCTCCGCCGCAGGTACAATTATCACCCACTACGCTTCAATCAAACCCAGTATCTGTCTCGCCTCAGATGCAAGTAACTGCAGACAAGCGACAGACGGCTGAACTGCCTCAGGCAGAGATCAAATCAGTGTCTGTTTCTCGCTCAGCTATCAAGATCGAGCTTCCCGCACAAACCAAACCGTTTCTACCAGTACAGCACAATCAGAAAGTAGTTATACAATTGAGTGACGAGTCGGATGAGGAACATAGACTTTATTATTTGGCTAACAAGAGCAATAAAAGAGAAGAGAATAATAATACCAACTCGTTAATAGCATCCAAAGTGGACAATGTAGATGACAAGAAGATGCTTGACACGAAGAAAGAGCTGGAAGCCAAAGAGAAGGAAATTAAAATGATGAGAGAATTGATCGCTTCTAAGACCCAGTCGTTGAAGAAAAAGTCAACTCAAAATACTATAGATGCCTTACCGCTCCAACCTCAAGAAACAGAAACACAACCAATGGAGACTTCTCCACCAGCGGCTCCCCAATCAAATGAAACAAAACCATCCATACCACAGGTCCAAGGAAAAGAACCCGATTCCGTTTCGACTCATACTTCCTCAATCAGCACATCGCCAAAATCTGCTCCTATTCTTCCATCATCAAATGCCGAGACAACGGCCGAGCTGCTTCAAACATTCACGAGTTTCATTGAAGTTCACATGGAAGAATTCCGTCGGCTGATGAATGATCACCGTCAACAAATGCAGGAAACACTCCAGGCTCAAGAAGAAGCTACGTTAAGAGCCAAAGTCCTAGCCTCACAACGACCAAGACGATCAAACAGTATATCGACTGATGGACGGTCGAGTGATAGACGATCGTCTGTAGGAATGGAACTCGATGGAAAGTCAGATCTTTATCCATCTGAAGAGACTAATAACAATGGAAAACGAAGTCCTCCTTCGTCATCTGACGAGTCACATGAAGGCTATTCTTCGAGTAAAAAGCAGAAAACATCCGAAAAGACATTGGAGATTCTCGAATTGCGAAAGCGTCTCGAGAACGTAACGCGAGAACATTCCGAAATTTCTGCTAAATTTGAAGAAATGAGGTACACTAAGACTCTTGGAAAAGCCAAACCTACGCGTCGAACCGATAAATTGTCTTCGAAGAATCAGCGTAATAATAACTTTTCTCCGCGTGGCGCGCTAGCTCACAAACCCAGTCGACATTCTTCTGCAGCTAAGCGCAATGAGATGAAGGACGAAGATGATGAAGGCAGTCATGCAGACGTGGAAAGCGGATCGAGTGGCAGATCAAGCGTAGATAGTATAATGGAGATTGATAATGAAGTTGGCGATGAAATTGGCAATGAAGTTGGCACCGCGATGTCTGATAAGGCAATAAGTGAGAGGCCACGGTTGGAGGAAAATGACTACCCACGTTGGACACCTTATGTGTCCCCTCTACGTAACTTCAAGTCTTACCGTTTATCGGCTAATTTCAAAGAAACTGTAGGGCTTCTCGGATACAAACACCTTGCATGGAACAATAAGATAAACGTTCAGCTGTGCATGTGTAAATATGAATTATTCCCACGCGGACGCGGGAGATGTAATGATCGTTGCTGTAAGGCGAATCATTTTAGGCATATCATGATGACTGAGGATGAAATCATCCAAGACTTGATCAGCATCCCGTATGGCGATGATGAAGTAACAAAGGCGGAATACTTGAAAGGTGTTGATGCTCTTGTCTTCAATTTGAGACGTTCACACACAAATACTTTCGAAGATATGATAACCCAGATTGTCACGTATCGTCAAAAATTCGCAGAAAAATTCCGAACACGTAATAATCAAGTTTCAAAAGGAACTAATGGTAAAAGGACCGGTAAAGACGATACGCGCGGACATGACGCTGTCCTGTATGAAATATTAGAGAGATTGGAAAAACAGGCTGAGAGGGAGGATGGTGTAGAATTCGAAGGGGTAAACAAAGTATCTCATCAACGCCAAACGGATAGAGGGAGGAGATATTTCGATGCAGGGAAAGACTTGGACGATACTCAAGTGTTAGATAATTTTTCGACGCTTAGTACTCCGGATGTGTATCCGGCTATAGTTACGACGGATGACGTTGATATTGAAAATTTGAATCTGGACGACAGTATTTCTCGAGCCGTGACATCGTCTCTTCCAATGGATCGTACCCGAACTCAAGATGAATTGTCGTCAACAAGCTCTTCTCCTGCAAACTCTTCATCTGCTTCGTCGCCTCGTATGTTTGTAACATATGAATCCAGTGAATCGAGCGATGAAGAATATGGTGAAATAACGTATTATCGACCAGATCATCCCGTCCTCGGAAATAACGGTTACGAACAAGTAGGCTATCATCCCAATAATACGAATGGATATAATAATGAAGATCGACAGCATCTGAATACAGAAACGGGAAGAGCTGCTAGTACCACTAGCAATGTTGCGGAGAATGATGATTTAGGTCATGAAGTGAGAGACGGAGATGCGCCATTGAACCTTGTTGGCAAATTTTTGAAATGGTGGTGGAAGTAAGGCTTGTAAATAGGTATCGTTTTTTTTTTACTTGTAGAACAAGCTTCCACAGCTATGTATTAGATTTCATTAGTCAACAAGCAAGCATTTGTGTCATTGTACCATGTTTAATATTTTTAATTCGAATTTTACTCTGGCAATATTTAGTGAGCCACAAATAAAGTGTGACTATGTAAGAATTGTCACATGCCCGTGGCAATTTCCTTCTCAAATGCATAGAGTGCATAAAATGTAATTAATTATTCTCCATTGAGAGAATTATAATAGTAATATATATTTAGATTTAGCTGGTTGCTTTATACAAATACTCAATTGGTTGGAAAAAAGACAATGTGTAAAACGAGGCTTATATAGAGTATAACCTCATTGATAGTAGTTGGGAATTTCTTATTGGCAAAGAAATCCGAAATATTACTGTGAAGTCATTATTATTGATCAGAAGCTAAGTTATTAAGATCTAAAATTTTAAAAGATACGCCAATTCTACATTTCCTGGTGCATTGCCATAATTTGAGACTTCAAAACGTCACTATAGTAATAGATGTGGGTTTACTCTATATTGTTTTCGCGATTTTCTGTACCAAGTCCTTTTTAGCTGTTTAGCTTGGAAAATAATGTTTTCAGTTCGATTTAAATTAATAAAAAATCACTGTTTCTGCGGGTTGCGAAAACACGTGGTCTAACAATTCATTGTATTTATTTACTGCGGACCAATTATTCGCCTAGTGGTAGGTACGAGTCTCTTTGATTAATCATATAATAATAATTAATTGGACCTTTTATCTTAAAATTTAATAATATGATTTACTAAGAACATTGATCATAAAGCTATACTCGTATATATGCACATGGAAGTAATTATTTTCCATGCCATAAATACTAAAATGGATAATTTTGAATATTTATGATGTAGAACATACTCTTATTGGAGAGATATATACATCTTTAATTTCCAGTGTTTATTTCGTATCTTGACGAGAGTATTGCGACTGTAAACAATGAAACTAAAGTATTTCTTCGCCTTGGTCGCTTCGTATTCAAAAAGCGAGATTTGGTTTATCTTACAAATATCCATTACAGTCGAAAATCGTCCATTTTCAGGAAAAACCATTGTATTGTCGTTTGATATCATTTATTAATAATACTATTAATTTCATATTATCGCGTGATTTTGTTTACCAAACGTTAATATTCCCATTGTGACAAGTACTTTGATGTCACCTCTATCAGCATATATTTTTCTTACCCTGTTAATTATTGCCGTTATGTGATTCGTTACATTGAGACGTACATGGAATATAGGTAAAAAAAGTAATCGCTATGGGATGCGTGGGCTAGGTAACCGAATTGAATATTTTAGTTAATTATACCTTGGAGTATCACTTTTTTTCGAACTTGAGAGAAAAAAGAAAAAAAGAGCGCAAGAGTATGAATGAGGCCGATTTCTTAGAATATAAGCGAAATTTTGAGACTAAGATGGGCGTACCTACTACTCCGCACAAAAAAGAATTGAAAAATAAATCTTTAGCAATCATTGAATATGCATAATCGTTATAAATCTTTCAATAAAGCAAGCATAAGGTACTAAGACAATATCATCTAGTTACTCTACAAATCTTAATCCTTTTTTAAACTTTATTTTAATTCAAGAAAAAGCCTGTATAATTGTTGATTCTTTAACAGCATCCAATATTTTTGCTAGAGAAGCGCGATCCAACAATTATTATCGTCCTTGTTGCTAATCCTATCCTTTTTTCCATAGAAACGCTGGAATCGTGACATAAATGCATCTTGCCTAATGATAAAATAATATATTGACTTGACAGTCAGCTTCCTCCGTATCCAAACATAATAAATTACGTTCTAAAACATCCAAGTATGAAAGCATAATAATAACAAGTGATACAGTGATATGACGGATGCAATATGTCAATATTCAATCCTATCGATTTCCTCGAGTTATATTGATTTCATAATGTTCTTTCTAGCGGATACAACCGAAGATCGGTGCTCCATGTAACACTGTTTCATCATTCATACTTTAGAGTCTTCTAGACGAAAGCCATTGATTGGCATTAAAGAACTGCGATGCAAAATCCAAGGAAATAGAGTCGCTCGCTCTCAGTTGCTTCAATGCAACAATCAGCTGTTCAAATGAAAGCATATATTAGAAAATCGAACAATCAACGCAATTACACTTCCACCACCGCATCCAACAGTGTCTCTTACCTCATCCCAAAATGCAAAACCATTTATCAGGTCAGCCTTCACATCAGCACACGCCGTAAAGATGTTCTGAATCTTTCGTGATGCATCCGATACATGCGTATGCGTCACCTTGCCCTCATTCAATTTGGACAGCGATATAGTTTGCTCGAGGTATGTCTTGGTTATTATACCCATTGCCGTATTCACATCTGTCAGGAAAGGTAGGCTGCCAACACAAAACACGATGCATATCATGCATTAGTCATATTGTTTATCGTTTCCACTCACTGCTGGTACCACTGACCTCAGAGCAATCTCCAAGTAATCCCCGCGATCTTTACGACGGTCAGAATTAAGGAACAGTGACAATGTTAGCATCTCACACAGATTGCGCAATGAGCGATTCAGGGCTTTGATAAAACTATTAAAGGCCAAAAGTTCTCTACTTAAAGGTCCAGCCCACACAGTGCCCTGTATGGTGAAATAAATATATTAGCATGTTAATAGATATACTTAATATTTAAACGCAATGTAAGATTATTCTCACGCGATGCTTGCTTTAAACGTTGCGGGCATTAGACTCAGTGTCCTAGAAATCAAAAGTATATGTCTTTTTTCTTCATCTACGGTAGAGTAGTCAATGTAATGGGAATTAATTGAGTATTTAAGTGTCTGTTATAATCCAATTATATCCCAATTCAAGTATAAGTGTGTATTACCATTGCCAACAACTGGCCCGCCAAAATATGATCGACTGAACGTGTTAGCATTCAGATAACCAAACCTAATCAACTCCAAAGCAGAAAGTAATTGTTCTTGGTGTGATGATGATCCTGGTTTTGCCGAGTCGAGGGCTTTTCGAAAAGCAATACCCCAGTATGTTTGGGTATGTGATTGAGTGAGGAAACTAGGGGGGGAAACAAGCTATGTTATATATAAAAATTGCAAATAATAGTAGCAAGTTATATAAAAGTTACATTACCCTCTCAATTGCAATAATCTCCATATAACATTCGCTAGTATTTCATCCTTACTAATAATAGTTTTGTCATTATTTTTAGGCATTATTGTTCTCGCTGCTTGCTCCTCCGTTGCAGTTGCCCTTAGGCAAAAAGCAATATCAATCGTAGAAGTCTACAGTAAAAAGAAGAAGAAAAAAATACGCGTAGTTTGTATCACGCACATATGACACGATCCCATACTACCAAAATCGACACCCTACTCTCCAACGACTTGTTTACTACCTTTTGTGCTTTCCTCTCTTCTTCCAATCCTCCTTCCAATACATTCCAAGTACTCAATGTATCATGGACGCTAGGTAACACGTTGTGTTGCAATGGATGATCGTTGGACGGTTCATACCAATATATGCTAACCACTTTTCTCGACTGATAAAACTGATGCAATGGCTGAGTAAGTAAACTCATTGCTTGTGTGCGTAGTTGGAGTAGCTGGTTAAGAAATTGTTTGTATTCTTGCGTTTCACCATTGCACAGTGGAGGATTTTCAATTAACACGCCCGATATCAGCGTATTGATAACCTAAAAAATTGGTTGAAGGAAACAGCATGAGAAACAGAAGCTTGGTGATGTAACGGACGCATTACATAACGCCCTGTACCTGTGGAGACATCAATCCTTTAGACAAATAGTAATATATCTCGTCAGGTAACCTGTATCCAATAAATTCATGTATGTCACTGGGCGCATTGTCAACATTCAGTGGTTCGACCTTTCCCTCATCTGTCAACACTAGATGATATTTAATAGCACATCTAGTACGACAGAAGAGATCCATATAATTCATCTTTACTACCAAAGAATGTTCAGCGTAACTTTGTACAGCATTAAAGCCGTGTTTATATTGTTTGATAAGATCGTGAACATTCTTGAATGCGAAACCGCCTAAATCCGTGTTAAGTGGTGGGAATGTATTACAATACTCAAAGCCCGCCAAAATACAGACGTCGAGAAATTGATCATCCGTGATTTGGAGGTCTGAAAGTATGACTTTCTTACTAAGATATGAATAGGTGCCTTTCTATGAATAACAGTAGATAATTAGTTGAAGAATTCGGAAGGGCAGGAAGCGACAAATGCGAACGAGAGAAATTTCATTGGTAGTCTACGCGAACCTCCAAATCTAACCCAACGATTACTTTTTCTACATCGTACATTAACAGTTCATTGCCGCCGTAGATTGCATGGAAATAGCTTTTTTGATGCCGCTCTAAATAGACCAGCTGTATGGAGAAATTTTGTTTAGCAATAGACAGCATAAATACGGAACTGTTACAAATTGGAAATAAGTAAGGAAATAATGTAATAACTCAAGCCAAGAATGTATCAATACAAGGTATGTAGTAGTCTCTATAATAGTAGCATGATATCGTATACTGCGAAAAAGTCTTTACCTGTCCCCATGCAGAATATGGGGCTCGCATAAATTCCACCTCGTTCTCTTTCAATATACTAAATACAAAATACAACAAATCTGGCTGATTGACAGATCCCGAGGCCGACCATCCGCTGTATGCCTGCTCTATTTTGCCCTTTTCATACGCGTCCCAAGCTTGAGCTCTCTTGGATGGTCTGGTATCCTCACCAGAAAAGGGTTTATCTTTACGAATCACATTTAATCCATTAAATACAAAGAATGGCTGTATCCCATATGATCTACACACACAATGAGAACAAATATTCGTAAGTAAACAACAGAAAATCCAGATCGACTGCCATTATCATATCGATCAAAAAAACCATTGTATATTTACTTTATTGCTTCTAATTCTCTTTCTATCGCACTCTTTAGACCTATAGGAACACCACCAAGTGCAGCAGTAACAGAGTCTTTCCCAAGCGACTGTATAATTTTGCGCAACCAGTGAACACCTTCTATGCCAAGTCTAACATCCTTCAGGGAAGTAAGTGACGCAGTTTGAATAAGATGACGCTCTGCCGTAAAAACTTGTAAAGAAACAATGCGCGGTTAGATCATAAAAGTTGGGGTTCCAAGGAAAGATCGATAACATTAAACATATTGAATGCGGTCAAACGGTGATCTTTATGAATCATTGGAAGAGTATAGTGATTGTTTGTAAGGATTTTATACCTACTTTCAAAGTGACGTATCATAATTCGTATTGTTAAAAAGAAAAAGAAAAGTGATTCACAGCAAAATCGCGGAGAAAACTATTTGACACATTGTGATTGGCCGATTTTTTCATGATAAAAAATCAAAAAGACGACAATTACACACTGCCCAATTTCGTAAACATGATCACTCGGCGATTTGTACTGGCGTGCCTAATTTTTTACTGTTTGTTCATATCCACTACTTTTGCAGCAAAACCTTCGTTAGAAATAAAAGTTGCAAAATTAAACGATGCTTCAAAGAAAAACGGGATTGTTGATCTGGATTCGGATTTGTTCGAAGAATTTGTCGCTAAACCAAGGAACTACTCTTTTGTAGCTCTCTTGACTGCTATGGATTCTCGGATCAACTGCATTCCATGCAGGTGAATAAGAACAGTTTGCGGGGTATAAGAACATGATGCGAAACGATTGGTATTAACAAATATTTTGTGTGTATTTACAGGGAATTTGATCCCGAATTCCGTTTGGTTGCAAAGACGTGGAAGCAAATTGGGAATCCGGTCGACCGTATTTATTTTGGTTTATTAGATTTCAATAACGGCAAAACAATATTCAATAAGGTATTCATTGCTGCTTTTCTGTTCCATGCCTCGTATTATATGACCAAATGTTTAATTCGATTAATTTTCCATGTTCAGTTAAAACAAACCAGTGCGCCTTCGTTGTGGTATTATGCTCCAACCGAAGGACCATTTGCTAAACAAGTCACCGAACCCGAAAAATACGACTTTCGCGGAGGTCTTGGAGCTGAGGCGTTCGCTTCGTTCTTGTCTGCACAACTTAACACACCCATTCCAATTACACGATCCCCAAATTATCTCCTGATGGCTGTTTACGGATTATTGGTTGCTGGCTTGTTAGCTTTCCTAAAGCTGGTTTATCCGCTAGTGCAAAAGTTTGTTTGGAACAGAAACGTATGGGCATCATTGTCACTGGTGATTATCTTGATGATGACATCGGGACACATGTGGAATCAGATTCGCACTCCGCCGTACGTAATATCGCAGCAGGGGCGGGTTAGTTATGTCGCAAGTGGATTTCAGAATCAACTCGGATTGGAAAGTCAAATAGTGGCAATCATGTGTATGTATATGAACAAATACCTAATTAATTCGCAAGTTTTTATAAAGCTGACTGATTAATTTCATTCAATGTATGGGATGGTCTATCTTGTGTCCATGCAGATGGCGTCTGTGCACTGTCAACGATAGCATTGATCACGTCAGTGCCAAAGCTGAATGATCCGGTTAAACAACGATTTGGTATATATGTGAGTATAGTATATCTTTCACCTCTCGAATTTATTTGACTTGATCTAACTTCTACTCAAATTGAACAGTTATGGGTCGGTATTCTTGTTGCAATGTTTAGTTTAGTTTTTGCTCTCTTTAGAGTCAAACAGCCTGGATACCCGTTCAGACTGTTTTTATAGATAATAAAGGGTTTGTAGATTCAAGTAAAGAATCTTTCTGTCATATGTTAAGCCTAATCAAGACTACATGCACCCCAACTAGCAATTTGTGTGCCAGTAGAGCTCTCGAAATGAGTATTGGCAATATCCTCAGTATTTTATGGGTCCTCGTCTTCATCCCATGGCCCTCGTAAGTCTTGGTAAAGACACGCATTTACGACTCCAATTGGAATGTCGTGTAAACCAGGCACAAAGTCATCAGTTATTCCAGACAATCTGGATAGGCTCTGGCCAACGTTTGCATAGTCATCTAGTAATAAAGCATTAGGTCCGAAGCATAATACAACAATTAAGCACTCCACGACCAAAATACCTGTTATTGTATTGAACGAATCGATTGGCGCAGTATTCATTAGATTAATAGAAAAAAATGCAGCGTATATAAATGCAATCAAAACAAATGTCCACACGGGCCATGCTATAGCCCAATAACTATGATGAAGAAATTACTTTAGACGATGGTTAACGATTAATGCATAAAATGTTGGCCAATCGTATTCAACGTACCGGTTAGGAAAGTATGAAATACCCAAGGAAATCAAAGCTTCGTCAGGTAAATATGCCCATAATAAATAAATAACTACACATTGAGAGATTCTATCATCGTTCGTCGTCAATTCATGGTTTTCACTAACATGTGAACATACCAAACGCAATAAACGAAGTCAAGTACAGAGTGAATCCGTAATATTCATAAGTAGGCGTTTTGGTCAAGGTAGTCGGAGATTCATCAGTTTGATCCAAATTCGATACATTAAAGTTTTGCGGACGCGAATGCTCCGAAGATGACCTCACTTTAGCATTAAGGAAGCTGCTATGCGATACTGCCCTGTTTTTGCGATGTTATAAGAAGAATACCAGAGTGGAGGTGGTAAATGAAAAATTCAACAATGGATTGATTGATATACTGTAACAAAATACTACCCGATCGGGCGTGATGATGGTCTTGACATCTGGCTTGTTGTCAGAAGAATCACTCATATTCACATATCAAAAGGCGGGTAAGACAATATTCACGTGACTCGGGATTCATAACAACCAATCGATGATTTTGTTTTTTCAATACACAGACATGAATCAATTGTAATTGTATCTTTTCTGGAGGCAAATATTTGACACTGATGTATTTGTCATATTTATTAAATTATCTGGTTTTTGTATTGATGAAAGCACGTGCCCAATATATTGCTGCTTGTAGTAATTAGCAACTGCCTTCAGCATATGCAAACGTAACTTGGAAATAAGTCATAGTTCGATAACATTCGAACATTGTACCTTTCGATTGCAGCAAAAATTTGGTGGTACTATTTAATAATAAGTGGGGTTTGGTTCTAAGGAATAGACGAAAAAATTTTATATCAAAATTACGGTCTTCTATCAGATTAGATAAATACACGTGCATAGAAGGATGTAGCCTAGCATTGAAATTCCCGTATAACGCAAGGCTTTTCACACTTTTTTTTTCGGGGGTACTTAGCTGCTCCAACAATTTGTGTATAATCTTTATGATTAAAAATTGTATATCAAGTATAAAACATGTAGGGATATACTCAAGCAACGGGCAAGCCAGATACTTTAACAGTGATGATCAGTGAACGAAATTATATTCAACAATCTTTTAATTTACGCAATCCAAATATTAGAATATGGCTCAAATTACCAATCAAATTTTACATTTTAATTATGAATGAAAATTAGCAAAGCTGTTAACAGTCAATTTACTACCTGTTAAGGTTTACATAACTCTACGCGTTTATTGTGACCATATTGAACAGAACAAGTCTCATTTGTTCACACGCAGTCAGACGAAATAGCAAAAGACTGTTACATTACGGTTTACCAATAAAGTATGACAACACTATTAATAACACGTTATAACAATTTGCACGTCAAAAATTGCAGAATCGAGCGATTGAACCCGTTTATTTAGAACATTATAGGTAGCCATGAGTAGATATTTTGTCTACCGACAAATTTCTATCGAGCCGTTTGGAGCTGATGGAAATGGTAATCAAACTAAGAAAACACATTAATGAGCTTCTGTATGGGTAAATAAAAAGAGGGGTAATACACAAATCATTTATTTATCTAAACGATATGTTTAATAAAAAAGCTGAATATCTGTGAAGACTTACTTTAATCTTTATATCTCATGCTTCGGCTACCGGATCGGCTTCTTCGAGTGATACTTCCGGGTAATAGTGTTTTGATTTAGATTGTGTTTCCCTGTTTAGCCAAGTCGTGCAGAAGCTACACCTAATAGCTAACACAGGAATTTTTTTCTGGCAATATTGACAAACCATGTCTTTCTTTGCTTTTTCGCTTTCGTTTCTGAATGTCATTACATTAATCACTAATAATTGAAATACGGTTAAAAATAAACATGCATCGTAGTTGATAAATTATGTAGAAAGCATTTACTTACATCTGACGAATATGTATACGAACAAGCTGATAAGGAAAAAATTAATAACTTGTTGAAGGAAATTGCCATAGTCTAGCGTCACGCTGCCGGCAGCCTAGAAATAGTATAAACCATATATAAATAAAAAGCAGAGTGCATGATATTGTTATCAACAAATAATTGAACCAGAATATTAACTTTAGCAAGGTCCCTAGTTGTAAAATCTTTTTGACCATCTGGAGCCGCTCTTATTACAACAAACTCTTCAGTCAATTGCGATCCTACACGTAGTTTTAGTCCAAACCAATAAAAAAGGTGAATATAATCATGTCGAGCATAACACAAATACGCTTAGCAAGTTACTCACCAGCCGCAAGACCAATTACGGGTGCCAACAAATCATTCACCCTGTCAAATAATTACATAAAATACTATGGTCAACGCTTGCCTGCCGTTCAAACTAGCTATCAATGAGCTTTATATTTATACCAACTACAGCTTACACTTTTTTTATCCAAATTATTCATCAATTCATAACTTACATGCTGTTGACAATGGACGAAAATGCTGCGCCTATAACCACACCCACAGCGAGATCAACTACATTTCCTCTATTAACAAATTCTTGATAATTGGCAAGTATTCCCTTCACTTCTTTTACTCCGTTTTGAATATTTTTGTTTACACTAAGTTTGATATGTGGAAGTCCGCGAGAGCGTGGATGCGTATTATGTGAGGTTGGTGTTAAGGGATAAGAATTGGAGGTAGACATTTTGAGAAATAGAGTGAGCGAGAGAGGAAAGGTAGTCGACAAGGGGTGGTTGTGATAAAAAATGACAGGATTTGCACTAGGCGTCAGATTTTACGAGCCAATATTCGCAAGGGAGAAAATAAACCCAAAGGGACAATGTTATCGTTGAAGATGCAACTGCTGTTCGGAAAGAGAACAATCAGTGAAGGACAGTCGTTTAGTTATTTTAGCTATAACATCCGTATAAATAAAGGAATCAGTTATTGTCACGCATATTGCGGAGATACCTAATCTGCTCAAATGTGCCGATAAAATTAATTAGCTACATAGCAAACAATGAATTTGGCAGATCATGAGAAACACCTTTATTAATCGGGATCTTGGTAAACTTACGAAAAACAAATCGATTCTGAGATCAACCCGCCCGATTTTTACCTTAAGCTACAAAGCTGGAACCGTTGTATAGAGTAACATTTTATGACGTCGTTATTGAATTAGTATAAATATTAAAAAGCGAGACTCGTTTCTGATTTCGAAATCTGAAACCGCCGGGACGTTCCAGGAGTCACACTTAATGAAACAACATTGCTATGCTGTATAATCTCAGTTAGCGTAACAATTTATCGACATAGGTGAGAGCACGAGGCCTTAATGATCTATTGCTGAAACACAGCACATTTATACGAGGCAAGCCTTGACAGGAAGAATAGTAACCAATCTTTTACTATAACAACGCCCTAGAGTAGATTGAAATATTGACTGTCCAACCCCCAAAATAGCCTTGTAATTAAATTAACATGGCTTTTTCTATATAATGTTTGATTCTTGCGTAACTCGTTCATAGTTTTTGTTACATTAGATCGACTCAATTTTGAAACGGAACAATATGCCAATCCATTCAATCGACGAAAAAAAGGGTTGTTTCTTTGTATAGTCAAGACTTTATTTTCTGTAGAAATTCTGCGCAGAATCCCGAAAAATGATATTCCCAAGATACGGTGGCAGACCATAATCAACGACATGTTGATCGATCATTCTTATTTGTCGTGCATGTGGGATAGTCAGTGTGCTTAAATCCATGTAGTCTTGTGGTTGTCATAATGGAACAGGAGTTTAAATTTACTGAAATTTCCCGGTAAGTTTTACCACTATTGTCAGCACTCAATCACATGGGTTAGATCCCCATGAACTACAATTAGGGAAAATGAATTCCAATAATAATTAATATTGCATGATGAAACTAAATCGAGTCACGATGCCGAAGGAAAGCACAAGTTTTAATAAACTCTACACATTTTTGAGAAAGTGCTTATTTACTATATTATATCAATAATGAAATCTTCTTCCTGAATAGCATTAAGCCAATTTACGAGATGCATCAACTTTGGCAACAAGCCGAATTTTATACCACAATGCAATGCATGTGCATGACAATGCAAATCGTTATTTTTGATGATCTCCAACGCCAGTAATATGTTCGAGGCGATGTCAGACTAATTCTTTTGAACATTGTTAAACATAATACACGGTCAGTCTCGATAAGCTGGAAAAACTACAGTCTAGTCTCTCTTGCACCTTATTTCGTATTCCCAACCTCGGGACTAAGTCTAAATGCACACTATTTATATTTATATTTGCACATGCATATTCCTGGCTATATTCCGTAAATGCACTTACATGATATTAATAATTAATTATCAGAATTGTAACCCCACAAACCCAGGCCATAAAGTCAGGCATCGTTGATTTGAATTCACGATTGAACGAGGTTCAAAATATTCATAACATCAGTACAGTAGACAGAAAATTAAACAGTATATTCTACAAATATTGCAGTTTAGTTGTGTTAATTGAATGAGTATTTAAGAAGGACAAATCTATTAAGATATGCTTTAATCGCTACCGAGAATTGTATTCAAAATCTATCATTGTTAGTAAAACTGTCAATTAAATGCCGCGACATTTTTTACTATATTCATTGTATTAACTTGACCTAAGTACTGGGCCAACTTCGTTACACAAAGGGTCCCGACTGTAGTTCTACACAAATAATTAATAGTGTTTGGGTTATTTAATTCCATGCCGATTAATAATTGGTTAACGAATTATTCCATTTTTTCCAACGTTTGTTCTCTGTAAACCGAGTTTTATAAATATGTTTATTCCAAAAGCATATTAACGTCTATTTGGCTAAATTAGAGCGTTACACACACACGAACTTTGACAATGAAAACGACTTATTTAGTAGAATTATTCTTATCTATTGTAGCACTCTCGGCGGTCTTGTCCCGTTAATACTCAAAGAGCAGTTCGTCATAACGCTCAACTAAACGTGCGATGAATGTGATGCGAGACATCCGAAAGGCTTATTACAGTGTGGTTTGCCGTTATTATTATTATTATTATTATTATTATAGCAAACCTTTTCAAGAAAGAGCGATATGCCAGTCTCGGTCTTGAAAAGTCATCTATTGTTACATCGGACGTTGTGACTAGAATGATTCTGGTTTCGATATCATTGTCACATTCGGGTAAAGTTGAAAGCCATCGAGCTCATTAGCATTGACGTCACCATGAATTATTATGATTATTACTGTTATTATTGTTGTTACTATTGTTGTGACGTCGTTGTTATCGTTATCATTATTTATGCTTTGTTTATTGTTGTTCGCAACGATGGGGCCACAGGTGAGAATTTAGCCCATGCGGATTATAATTAGGACGAATTCGTTCCGATTAGTAATGATGAACTTACAAGTTACAGTATTTGTTGCTTTCCAAATGATTCTTTTACAATCGTAATTTATTTAAACTGTTTATTTTGAGAAATTTTACACGCTCGAGCTTTATTTCTTCTAGTATTGAAAGAATAAAGCAAGAGTATTTTATAAAATAAAATAGAAAAGGAAACTGTTGTTATAACATAAATCACGAATAATCAACTGGACATGTAAACGATATAGATTGTAATCTTTTGGTGCTTATATCATAACTTGATAGTGTTAATAGTGATAATAAATTTGAAGGTAAAAAATGAAACAGAATGAAGGTAAAAATACTACAATGAAGAGATAAAAATATGTCAAGAAAATTTATACAAAAAGACCAACTCTTCGCGGAAGAGGCAATTCCAATATCTGATATATAAAAGAATATTTCCATACTGCGATAAGAGGATAAGAAAATTACGCAGAAACTAAATGTTCGTGCATGCAATAAAAGATATAGAAAAAGAAAAAAGAAAAGAAAAGAAATATCTAGTATTTGTGGTTAATCTATATGGGGATAAGAAATATACTTAGTAACATTGTTACTTATCTACTATAATTTTTAGGTAATAAATGATAATTTTTTTTAAAATTTTGTGAGCGCCCCGGCTTCAGAGCAGTCTTCAAGCACATTCTTCAATAATTCACACCTGCGCTTGAACATGGAAAACCATTTTTCTAATTCCTCTCGAGAAAGCTTTGTAACAAAATTCTGAAATTTAGCATCATCTTCAATCTGGTCAGCGAATCCCGCACCCTGTTCAGAAAAGACGCCATTAGCACCCGTTTGTAACAAGGGCATAATAGGACGTTGCCCGGAAATCATGGACGGAATAGTCAACGGAAATTGTGGACTAGTTGGTGTAATCGGCGAACAGTCGTCAATATCTGCGCATCCACCATCACTTCCATTTCCAGATGGATTGTTTGCCCCCCAATCGCGACGGCGACGTTGGATCTTTGCTTTTCTCATTGCAACTGGACGATCGCGGTTGTGTAATTTAGCGTAGAGACCACAGGCATTGCAGATAGGTTGACCCTTTTCGTTCTTGCGCCAAAGCGGTGTTTGAGTTTGATCGCAGTTTACACATCGAGGGGACTCGGATATAGGACTACTCGCCAAGGATGAAGATTGAAGTTGTTGCGCTTGCCGGGGTACCTGAGGTGGTTGCAAGTAAGGTGTGGTACTGGCTGACGAAGTGGGAGATGCGACATCATTGTTCATGCTGTTGTTGCTGCCGTTACTAGAGGTGGATGACGAAGAGGAAGAAGAGGATTTTCTGGACGTGGTGAGATTGTACGGTCCGCTGGCTGCGCTTGGCTTGTTACGGATATGTAGTGGGCGATGAGTATTGTATTGTTTGTAGTAGAGACCACACGCATTGCAGAGAGAATGCATGCGATCAGGAGTGCGTCGCCATAGAGGGGTTTTCGTTACACCGCAGTTGAAACATTCGAGTTGGCGTGGCGGTTTATTGCTAGTGTGTTTCTTTGAGTTGGTGCGTTTCGTCGGTGGTGGAGTTACATCTGATGGTTGGACTATTTGGTGCATGTTTGGCGACGGTGGAGGAGATGAAGGGCCTGGTTATTTATGGATGATCAACCGAAATTAGAGATTTTTTTTATAACAGTCAAACAGACTATATATATGTGTGTGTGTGTTACTTACTCGATGTACGTCCACATTCTGTCTGTTCTGGTTTAATGTATCCTTCTTTCAATAGGCCGGTGTTGATGGTATTTGCATCGTTCATATATCCAGTAGCGTAATATGTATAATACCCATCATCCAATCCATTTAACATCACATCCTCTTGGCCATTCGCGAAACTACCGCTTCCAAGCTCACCATCGCCATAAGGACTGTTTACTGGGGAGTCTAAACGCTCAGGCGAAAGGTTGCCTTCTTCGGTGGGGCTTGGTAGCATTACATCACTTTCCACGAACAAATCGTTATCCATCCATTGGATAGACTGTATCGACGAAGCATTGCCAAATGATGTTCCACTCAAAAAGAGCTGGAGTTTGTCTTCCGAGTCGAAAGTCATGAGGTCGTTATCGGATAGTGATTCCGGGGAAGTTGTGAAGGCAGTATACGGGATTTGAACTGATAGACCCTTATCTTCGGGATCCCTTCCCGATGCGCAAATGGCTTGGATATGCGGAGAAAAGAGGAAAGAGCCAGGTGTGAATTGATTTGGTCCCATTTTTAAAGTAAATATTATGAATTAAATAAAGTGAAAAAGTACAGTGGTTTATGGAAAAAGTTGTTGTCGATGAAGATTTGTTTGTTTTGGAGTTGAAACAATAATAATTATATATTATCTAGCTCTTTTTTTTTGGATTGGAAATTTTTACGGCCTTTTACTTTCAGTGCAGCTGGGGCTTTATAATGTCACGTGAATAATAAATAATGATGAATTTGATTCGCTGATATAAAAAATTTTCTGTTCTTAATAGTTCAATCAACGTCGTTGCCTACGTGGTTCCCTCCGAGCATATAAAAATAATTCATGGTGTGTGGAAACAGTCCAATAGTTATAAACTCTTTAAAATGACCAAAATACCGAGTGCTCAACAGAAGAACATGGTATCCAAAGGTTGTAGGATAAATAAATAAATAATAATAACAAACAATAATATAAATAGGAAGATGATACGTCTACTATTAAAGACAAATATGAGAGGTATTATAATAAACCAGAGTTGGCGGTCTGCACTTAGTTCGGTTGTATTAGAGTAGGAAGTGGTATGCACTTACTCGCAGCTGCTTTTTTGTTCGTAAGCTAACCCAAAGGTCTTGGAGTTCTTTAGCTTTCACCGCTTGTATTTTTATATTTAAAAAAGAGGTATATTGTACAAGGATGTAGGGTTAGGGTGTGAGGGAGAAAAGGTGGGGTGCAATTTAGCATACCGGAAAAGAACCAATTATATTTTATTCTACGTGTGATACTTTTGGCGTATTTTAGCTGTATTTTATTGGTTAATAAAGACCTGTATCACTTTGATGATATCATAGACGCAATGGCCGGTAAATAAACCACAAAGTTATTTCGAGACATCACATAAATCGAATTTGGGCACAAGCGCACATCTTATATCCGTCAGTCCTCACGAATATCTCTGTATTTGGAATTCTTGTGTTGTGAGGCTATAGTTCTCATTAGAGTAAAAGGGATTTAAACGTGGGTAATAATTGACAAGGATGGGAAGAAGATTGCGACGAATTGAGAACAGAATGTCTGTTACAAAGAAGACGTGCGCATGTCACTGGCAGACGAATTCGACATGTATATAGATTTAGTTTAGCCATTGTTTAGAATTCTTCTTAGTAAAATGGAATGCTTTTGGTAAGAAACAAAAGAGTCGCCATGAAAATAGTTAGATGTGTAACAATAAGCAAACCGTTACAATAACGATAATAATAATTATAATAATGATTATTATATTTTACTTTCCCACGGATTTTAGCTTACATATTGTTACATTATCTAATAGACACAACAAATTGTTTGATTAAATTACCAAATTTTGCAACACATGAATCAGCAAGTAATATTAAAAATACTTGGGTTTTCCTATGCCAAATATACTTTGAGAACGCCATTCTTTTTTGATGCTTTTGATAAGCCATAATTGTCAGTCTGTCAACCATTCCACTAAACTGTTTACTCACTTTGTAACCCCAAACACACGGAACTCATCCCCGTTGGGATCGTACGACGCTGCGAGATAAGATAACCATATGTAGGAGAATATAGTACACAAACGTGACCTACCTTCGTATTTACCCGATGCACACGCTAAGCCTGACAACAACGCAACGCCCATGAGCAAAAAAAGAAGAGTGTAAAACGTGTGTCTGTATATATCCCGAGACCGAACGGAAGTTATCTTTTAACGACTACGACAAGTCTGAACATCGTACCATTGGTTTCTATCCAATTTAGACAGCTGGTTCTAAGTAGAAGGGTTTGTTAAACAAATGTGCATGACAAAAAAAAAAAAAGGTACAAACCATATTTATTAAGAATTGGGAAATGGGAGAGCTGTGACCTGTCAATTTGAAAGGTTTCCAACCATAATAAAGCCACTTAATAACAGAGATAGCACAGACGGAATTACTTGGAATAAATACTACAATAATAACAATAATAGCCATTCAATTAATATACTTTTTATGATAGAATGCGTTTGTATGTGGCTCATTGTTAAAGTCTGCTATCTATGCAAAAGTGCGAATGAACAAGTTTATGTGTACGCCAATTGCGTAACCATGTGATTTTCTCTGCAGATGCAAAAAGTTTTTTCCATAATCAATTTGGTTGTGTACTATAACGGCGCATTTAGTTGATAACAGCACAATGCAATAAATTTATAGTAAACGCAAAAGATGTCTGTGTAAAAAACATTGCCTTAATTTTTTCCATGAACGTTTTCCGTCCTTTTTTTTTTTTATTTCCCATTGTAGGAATTTCATCGACGTTGGCGCATTCTTTGGCGCATATTTCCTCGAAACATCTCACAGCACATTAGACCATGACGGTCCAGACTTCTTTGTTGACATTCATGTGTATGGTATGGTTAGTTTTCACTCCATGTACAGGGAATTGAACAGTAAATAGAAGAGTAAATAACGAAATGGTGCCACTATTAAATTGGATTGTGCGACAATAACCCCGTCGTTCTTCCGTTTTGCATCCGACATTAGCCATAAACTTTAAATGAACAAATCATATTATTTACAATGAAATTCATTGTTACTTTCTTTCTATTCTTTCGTCCTATTTTCGCTCGTTAGCTATTGTCCCATATCCACATATTATAATACACATGTATTACCTTCACGTGATTAATAAACTAATACAGGTTATATTAATTTTCGCTTTTGCCCTTATCTTGGAATTAGTATTTAATATACGATAGATACAATGCGTCGTAGCGTCATACAATGTGTTTTGCTTGTTGTGAGAGTCTAGATAAGGAGTTCTTTCCCAATTTTCCAAAAAGAAAAAAAAAGAAGAAAAAAAAAGCCAAATTGACTAAATAGACATTGCAATCGATTCACCGAGACAGATATGGGATGGTGTTGTAACACGATCACATTTCCATATACGTACATTACGTAATAGTACCGGATACTACGTAATTTGTGTCGTTATGATATTTCTATATTCCGATCGTCGACAGGATTGCATAGGGGGTCACGCTCTGCGACGACAACTTGTCTTGAATGACACATAGTTTGACACATACACAAGAATACTGTGTACGAGTCGATTACTGCATAAACGTTGAGTATGGTGATGTTCAAATGCCACGTGCTGCCATCGCTATAGACCGAGGACATGCGGTCTTGCATGGCTTCACCACATGAATGGAATATGTTCAATGCGCTTCTCTAGAGGTTGGAGATATGGAAACGCAACGAGACTGGATTGAAATAAATGGACAGTAACAATATCGTTTGAAACGATGGGGTGTCATTGGTTGTAAAATATCATTGAAATTAAGTGCAAGATAAGCTTATTAATGTATGACATTAATTTAATTCTGAGACAATGACGACACTGTTCGTGGGAGAGCGTCATAAAATAAAATATACAAGTTACTCGGCAAACACTACAGGATAGCAAGTAAAATTACTCTAATTACTCTGATACACCATCCATGTGACTTGACAGTCTGGAAATGGCGGGTATGACCGACAAAGAAAAGGGCGACATTTCGGCTCATTCACCCTGCACGGTTACCGCATAGTTGCCCTTGACACTATCAGAGATAAGACAACGAAAATCTATGGCGTTCTGATAAGCTTATCAGTTGGACAAACATTGTGCCGTGTGGCAACGAACTTGTAGCGTTGATTGGTTACAGAAATCAAGAATGGAAACTATTTCACGTGAAAGAATCGATGATGTTATGAAACACATTCCACTGAGAAATATTGATCGTCCCAAATTTAATTGTTTTCGTCACAATATTTCTTATTTTGTATGCGCATTTACAGACTTTTCCTAATCGGTGCCGTTGGTTTTACAGCAGGTGCGATAAGATAAGATATTTCCCCTATTTACGACGATCAAGTTGTTCATGATACACTTTTTCTTTGTTTATAGCATCACTTGTTGTTGATGATATGAATAAATGAATAATTTAATATCAACAACAGTAAACAAAGGGTTACATAATAAGACGTCGTTTCAATTATAACTTATAAATACATATACAATAGTATGATTGTGTGATAATGATTTTATTGTTCTGTTTATTTGCAATGTGTGTGGTGTAATTGTTATCTCCTCTTAGTCACTTTGATGACATTCCCATGATATTAGAGCGTATGACATTTAATCATATGCAATCTTATCAACCACATATGCAATCTTATCTTATCTTGTTACACTTTATTATTCTTATCTCGAGACTCACAACAGCGAGTGCAACCAGGCTTTATTAGCTTAACAACGCTACTATAAATATAAATATAAACAAATATAACAATAAACCATAGTGATATATCAATTGCCAACACAATAATTAATGCCGCATAAAGCCGAAGTCATCTGCCTTCCAAAGACTCTTTCCCTTCTCTTTCTATGGTCATCGCTTTTTATATCATAAAAATCACACGACTCTCAAATTACAAATACTACGCTTGTCATTATTCATTATTGCTCCCATGATCATGCATGCAATGCGTCTATTAAGCATGTAGCTGCGACTTTGTGGTTCTGTAGCTTTTTGCTCTGACTAATCACTTTTTATAATAGTTCACATGAACAGAAACATGACCCCTCCCCTAAAAAAAAAAAAGAGGATGGACCTCGTTAAAGTATGGGAAAAGGGGGGGCGCCATGGGCAGATAGAACCCAAGGCGGTGTTTTCTTATTGTCGGAAATAACTGCATGAATGGGCATGCGGCATGGTCCGTCAACGTTTCATTATTCAGTAAACAAAATAAGTAATCATACATCACAAGCCACGAATGATCTCTTGTCATCGTACATATTTTAACATGTTTAGTAAAGCCGTTTACGTCCCATTCGCACGTCAATGAGTCATTGGTGGCGGAATTACTCAGTTTCAAGCAAACAAATCCCTTTGCTCAGAAAGTTCTACGTCACACAGCTTCGCGTTTATGGTCGCTTATCACTCAATTAATCTCACCCAAGAATACAAGTCAATTGGGATATCTTCTGTTTGG